AATCAACAAAATTTGGCATTTCCACTGTAACTTGGACTTGTTTCAAACAAAACAATTATGTTTTATATTGAGTGATCAGGCTAAACAGGAAATGTGCCTAGGGTGCAAAAGTCTTACACTTATTTTTTTCTATATTTTTCAATACAATTCATTATAGGTCTTTTATATTCATTTGTATTTGATGTAAAACATAGCCTGGACATATTATAACTGATATCAATAGGTGTGAAAAAGACAATGGACATTATACATGACATTGGTTATATTCTTCTTATACTTTGTAGAAATTAGAGCTGGGGCATAAAATTCATAAGGTAGATTTTTTATGTACATATAAGAATGAAGCCATTTATAACTGAAAATGGCCTATGCATGACACAAACAAGATGATACTAATTCTATTTTATTCATTTGTTATTAAACATATAGGCACATTTTGTTGTTGTTCTTGTGCTGATTTTTTAATCAATGATTCATTAGAACAAATACATTCTAACATCTATTGCTACCCACATAGAGCAAATTACTTGATATATGTTGAATTAAATCATACTAAAACAGAAGTCATACCTTGGACACCTTCACTTGGCATCTCAGCCTTTAGTGTTGACTGTTTTACTTTAGCCAACAGTCTGTACTTCTTGCCTCGGTTATTATCTGTGCATACCACAACCCCACATGAGCCAACTGCTTCACAGCTCCATCTGCGTGACCAATCACTTTCCACTACACGAATCTGAAATCAAAATATTACAAAGTGAAAATTACTATTTGTTATTTTCTGTTGCACATATATAGATATAATCACACCTGTGTCTTGTAAGAAGGCAATTCTAGGCACCATATATGTCTCTGCCCAGTCTTTTATCAGCCTGGTTGATTTTAATGTAACTGCCATGATTTCTCATCAGAAGTTAGCTGATGCCAAATGCTCACCTTTAGTTTGTGAGGGTAGTTTCTCTTATAACGGAAAAGGATGATCTCTTCCTGCCCATTCAATTCATAAATAACTTTAGATCTTGCACCCTGAAAATGAAATGATGGTAATAACTGCAGAAAAAGAAAATTCAGCATTGATACCATGACCTACAACCTGTGTTATAATATATGAGTGGTAACTTTTAAAACTCAAGTATACAGTATTTCTGTACTTCATATTTTATATACTAACAAAAGCTTTACAGTCAGTAAATAACTATTTCTAATAAAGAAGATATGAAACAAAATCAAACATATATCATTATACAGAATGCAAGTACACTGTAGTTACAAACACTTACTCGTATATATAATGGAAGTCCAGTTTTATTTACAATCCAATAAGGAGAGTACACATAAATTGCTGTTGACCCAGATCTAACAGTATACAGGGTGATTTCCAATTTTCGGCGGGCATCCCCATCTCCATGACTGAGTATCAGAGTGCGGTGTTCATTGCCTTTCTCTGCTCCAATCTCTAAGGTACCACTCCAATCACTAGACAAGTAGTTAAGTACTTGGACTTGCAGGATCACTTTTTCCTCTATACTGACTTTGTAAAGAGTGGTTTGTGCTCCAGGATCTAGCATGAGTGGCTGTCCTAGAGTTGGATGGGTCAAAACAAGTGTACATGGCAAATGATTATGGATGGCAAGAGGTGGCACCACACGCAGAATGTAGTTAGGTAACACTCCTCCTAAGCCTTCCCACTGAAGGCTACTCAGCTTCATGCCTTCTTGAATTATCACCTGAAAACAAATTGCCCTTGGTTCATTATCTTCTCATGGATTTCAAGCCTCTTGCCTAGTAGTTCATTATACTTGTACTTTTTATTTGAAATTAATTTACCTAATCAAGTTATGAACTCTGTATAGTGCTTGAGCTTTTCTCAAATCAAATTGCAACTTTAAGACTGTAAATGATTTCTAAAAAATTTCATACTAGAACACTACAAAATTTGTATAGGAAATAATATATGCATTTCAAAGGAAAGATTGATTATCATACCATATCATATTTACAGACATATGGCTGTTATATACAATAAACATGTGCATGGTACCCTTCCAAAATTCAACAAACTTACTGCAGCTGCAATTGTAGGATCCTGTTCTATCTTCGCTTTACATGTCAGGATATGGGAACGTGATGATGACAGTAGTTCCTTCCACCACACACCTAACTCACTTACACTATGGCTGTAAAGGAATTCTCTTTTGCAAGAAGTCTGCTAAAATGTATGTATGTCCATTATTTTCTCTTTTACAATCAGACAGGTGCATGCTTGTTTTTCGCTGCCTGTGATGCAATTGAATACTTACTCAGCAGCTGCAGGCTGGATATGTAAGGATGAATGATAGGCCACAGTGAGAGGTACTGTGAAAATCTGGTCAGGCTGGAGGGTGATCATTGGTACATGGGGTTCAAAAGGATTTACTGGGGACACCACCCTTGCATGAAGTTCACCCAGGGAGGACCCAAGCATTTCTAAAATGCTTTTTTTGAAACAAATATTTATAGGGAGAGGCAGGTCATTCATAATCTGTGAAAATAAATAAAACAGAATTTAGTATGACCATCATATTAATATCTCTTATAATAAACATGTAACAATGATATCTGTACAAAATTTCAGTAACATATCAGCATTTGATGATAACAAATAATAAATAACGATAATAATAACAATGAAAATGACAATAAAGATAATGATGATAAAGATAATGATAATAATAATAATAATAATAATAATAATAATAATAATAACAATAACAATAACAACAAATATGATGATGAAGACGATCACAACAATAATGATAATATTAACAGTAATAGTTATAATAATAATAATAATAATAATAATAATAATAATAATAATAATAACAATAATAATAACAACAATAATAGAAATGCAAAAATAATAATAATCAAAATACAGATCAAAATAAAACTCTAAATAACAATAACAATAATAATAATAATAATAATAATAATAATAATAATAATAACAACAATGATAACAATAATAATGATAATGATGATAATATTATTGATAATAATAATAATAATAACAATAGTAACAAAAATAATAACAATAATAACAATAATAATAATAATAATAATAATAATAATAATAAAAACTAATAAAAATGATGATCAATAATAACAAATAATAACCCATTGCCATCACAGATAGCATATACATACAGGTCATTCCCATTTTGAGTTTAGTTTATTAATTATGCTTGCACGTAGATGGCCCTACAAGTGCTTAGTTACCAAGAAGACTTTTACTAGTCCTACCAATCTCACCTTATTTTCAGATATTCCTTACTTTATATTGGTACTTGTGTTGTTAATAATTCAATAATAATCATAATATCAATAATAATAATAATAAATAATGATAACATCAATGTTAAGGAGACCAACACCCTAAATTTTCAGTTGAACATTATCATTATTATTATTAAAAAAAAGGGTGATTTGGCAATACTGCCCTATATTTTGGCAAAGTTTTATAGGGAAATGATATAAAGTATAGACACAGTAGCCTTTTTTGAGACCCCATGTGTGCGATTGAATATCACTCAGAATGAAGACCCTCCACTCCACAGCACTAAGAATCTCTACCTTGCCAAGATGCCATATGAGAAGCTCGAGTACATGTAGGATATCTACCGCGATCACACCACACCTGACCTTCTATCCTGATAACTGAAGGGAGCCACGCATAAGGCAAATGTCCCTACACAGCAAGATCTAAGTAACATCAGCAAAAGGAGGTTTGCTGGCAGGCTCCAAGTTGTGTTTCTGGTACATGTAATTGTGCTGAAGCACAACTTCTGAAAATCTGCCAATTTCCTCTAGCATTTGTGTGGGCAAATTTACTCATCAAGGAATTCTTCAGACTTAAGGATTATGAAGTAACTAGGAATTAGCAGAGAGTGCATGAAAGAAATGACAGAGAGAAAGCTAGATATGAGTGCTGACTACCTGCCAGGAAAATTTTAATTGTTGATTTTGTAGCATATAAAGAATGCTATTTTAGGTACCGAGGAAATTTATATTTCTTTTTTATCTATTGAAAAAAAAACTGATACTTTTTTTTCTTTTTTTTTTTTTTTTTGTAATATCACTATCACATATTAACACTAATAAAAGGAATATCAAAACCATCAGTACCAGTTCTACATAATAAATGAAGGATGCCACTTAATCTTTCTCAGAAAAAAAAAAAAAAAAAAATCATGACTTTATCTTCTAATTAAGAGATTTATTCCCCAACTGAAACCAAACTTAAATAACACCTTCATAATCATGCCAACTAGAAAAAAAATCTAAAAAGAAACCTAGGTCCCATATTAAGATAGTGATGGTCTCTGTAATAGAAATCAAAATAAAACTCAAGGGAAAGGAAAATTAGGTGGGGTCATGTAGGCCTATTAACTGACCTCTTGGTGGCTGAGCACTGTGTAACCATCTGTGTTTAAACATTTCACAAAACAAGACTACAAGGAATATTTCATGGTCCTGGTAGCAATGGGCTACTAGAAGTAAAAAAGAAAACAAAATTAAACTACATCAGTAGAAAATAACTTACCTGTAAAGGACTTCTTACAATGACCTTCGTTGTGTGGTGGTCAACCTGTACTGTTACAATTAAGTGATATCTTCTATCATTACGAGGTGGACTTAGCTGGAAGATGCGACTTCTAGATCTTTTACCAACAAAAACTGTTAGTTCATCAAATCCTGTTAAAGGTGTAATGAATTAAACTTTGTTTTCTTTAAAAAATAATATAATTAATTAACCTTCATGAAAAACAAATCTTTTCCAAAAGACAGACTCATTTAACCATATACTAAATAACAATATGTACTTACCAGGAACACTAATTTGTACTCGATGTTTAGTTATGTCCTGATACAAGGTAACTGGATTGGGACAGAGCTGATCAAAGACAGGCTCAACAAAAGGAATGTCAGCTGAATGACCCGAGATTGAGATAGCTGGACAG